ATTGTTGTCGATTTGTTGATATTGATAGTACCCATTTTCGTTCCACGTTTTCCTTTCACTTTTTTGCCGAATGGCCGTTCCCTATAGACGTATTTACATCAATAACTAAATAATACAGAAGTTGTTCTTCATTACTTTTATAATTCTACTATTTTTCCTGTGTCTCAAATAACAAATAAATAAATAATTTGAGATGCATACTTTATTTGTCCTTTCTTCAGTTGGACGCCCAGCCACGTACCTTGGACCCTCTGTTCATTGTTTTTAAACTTGTAACTGTTCTCTAATAAATTGTTAGTGTATCCATTGTAAGTGCCAAGACTGTGTAAAAAAGACTTTTACATTTTGTTTACTATTTTTCTGTTGTTTCAGAACTAAAGAATGCAGCAAAACAAGCACAAAATTCTCTGTTATTCTGCTGAGGAATTTAATGCACAACATATAACAGATTGAGCACACAGTTCAACAGAAAGCCTACAAATTGAACACAGCCTTGAAATACTTTGTTCAAACCTCACGAAGATGGTAATTTCGCTTGAGATGTCTTATAAAAACAATTTACAGGTTAAGTGAAGGGATAAGGTGAGATGAAATCAGAATCTGAACAACTACCAGAAGTAACGCATTGTAAAGCTCTTTATTTTGTAACAAGAGTCCAAACATGTACCAAGAGGCTGGCTATATGGAGGGCAGAAGAACATGGCGGCTAGGACACCATGTACATAGCCTGGCTCTCTGGCTGTATAACTCCAGTAGTTCCAGTTATAGAAGATTGCAAGTTCCACTTAAAATTAGCAAACTAACATATCTATGTTAAAAGTATATGGCAAGAATAAAGGTGATCCCCAAAATAATAAAATCTACTGATACAAAACACAAAAGGAATTTTATACACTCTTAGCTTCAGAAGGTGACCATTCTTAGTATGGTAATAATGGTAGGGTTAAAAATATCTTTGGTATCATGGCCACCTACAACAATAAACGCATCGCACCGTGCAAAAATATCACAAATATGTGTACGCTTGTTAATTTCTGATACATAACTGCTGGTTATTACACATGGCTGGCAATATGAAGAGTGCATTAAAAAAAGCAGGTACAAAATACTTCTTATGGTAATTTTTATGGATAGGTTTCTTCAAACTTAAGAGATTTAATCTGATAAAGTCAAAAGATAATATAATAACGTTGTAGACATTAAAAATATATACATCATACTTAGATAACTATCATGATATGTCTCTATATTTATAACTAATATACATTATGTTGTAAATAGTTTATCAGTGAAAAGTATTAAAGTTGTAAAAATTTTTACTTATTTTCCAAAGTAACTTTTAGATAATTAAAATAAATGAAAATATAACATTCTTTTAAGTACAAATCAGTATTTATATGAATTTAAGATCTTCAATTTGACCAGAAATTACCTAATAACTCCCTAGTTTACTTTTTTTTGCACCATTCATACTTTGTAATGTGGTAACTCTGTATGTGACTACAACATATGGCACCTATCAACGTGCTACGGAGTGAAACATAATCTATGGGAGAGAGCTCTTTGACTAATACACTCACATTTACAATAGTTACAATGACTACAATCAAACTGGACACAGCTAACAAGATAGGAGCAGAAAAAAGGTAAATTTGCATTTGAGATAAATATCTTCGGAAAACATTGGTAAACAGCATGCCCAGACATTGGCATTAAACACAACATCAAAATGATTCTCCTGAACTGAAGGGACAAAGAAAATGTCTAGTGAACAAACGTCTAGACAGAGATGACAATTATACCACCTAATTGCCATACTGCATTTTACCACAAATGTCCCTACACTTTTGAAAAGGCAGCTTCATATTCCAAGGCAGTAGAAAAGTTAATTTCCTTTTTCTGCTTATTTTATACGTAGTTCAGTTCAACATCTCACTGATAATGATATGATAATTATAATGGAAAATTACTTAATACTTATTTGACCCTCGCGTTCATCTGAAATATCCGGCACATCATATTAGGCTCGTGCTATCATCCCTTGTGGCACGTTATGATCAACTCGTCTTTCACCGACTCTTTTAAAATATACCTCTCTATCTTTGTACCTCAAAATATATTATCAATATATATCTATAATATATATTATCCTCTTCAAAAGTGACAGTGGAGAATGAATCAGTTATGTGATATTAAGACCATCAAGTAGTAATACAACAAGATATACCTGCTCAGTGGCAAAATACCAGTATGAGCTGTAACCATGTACGGGGAACTTCACACATTATTTAAATAATTGCATCTTCCTGTCACAATCAAGATAAGCCGCAAGTCAGTCGACATGTGCCGTAGCACGCAATTCTATTTCGCACCTTTTTTCACGTATTAACTGTCAGTGCTTAAAGAAGACAGTTTTGTACCATATTCAAAAGGAAAAACCTGGTGTAGCAAAGATAAAAATAATCTGCAAGTCTAAACTTAGCGCAAGAGAAAATGTGAATGTTTTGTTACATAAATTTAATCCCATCAGCTCTTAATGTCAGGTGGAATATTCTGGAAAATGACATTTTTAAATAATTATAATGTTTCATAACTGACTGTACACACAGTGCTTCAATATATACATTCTTCTAAAGTGGCCCATCCACATGAGTCTGACTTGCGAGTCTGGCTCGGCGAGCTTGACTCGTGAGCCGGGCTCGGATATATTTCACCACGCATGTAGAGCAGACTCGGCTCGTGACACCCCACCCACAAATGAGTCTGGCTCGATGGAACCCGAGCCGAGCTGGACTCGCAAGCCAGACTCGTACGTGGATGGGCCGCTTAAAACAAACTGTTACATCATTTCAAATAACAACGATCAAACAGTTTGTATTTTAAGAAACTTATACAGAAATAAGGCAATGAAAGTTGGATTCTGACTGTAGTATTGCTGCATTTTTCATTCCCTGTCCATCAACATGGGGAATTCAAATTAAATATAAACTCTCCTCAAAGAGATTGAAGGAATTAAAAATACTTATATACCATATGCTCTTTCACACAACTTTTAATTAAGTGTGCATTCAACAAGACAAATGTCTTTATGTAAAGTAAAATTTGCAAGAAGCCAACATGACCCTAAACACAGTCTTCTTCAAATATTAGTATTTTTGTGCATTATGAACACCTAATAATCAGAAGACAGAAATCTTCATACTCACCGCTGTGAAAACCCCAAATCTTACAATTAAATTCAACATTGAAACATTTATTATGATATAGCGACATTTTAATAAATTTTAATTTAGATACAGGGAATGAGCTCCTTCTCAGCACAGTCTATGGCAACGAATCAAATAAAGAGAAATACGCGATCTAAACATTCACCTTTCAGGTTTCTCCATTTGATAAAGTGAAACAGTGGTTTTGCTTGGCACAAGGAAAGTTAACGGTTACTTAATATGTTACTCCGACTAAGTTCCCCATTCTTATAATGATGAAGATAAGTTGTAGATATAATTTGAGATAGATTGTGGGAAAGATCTGGCATAGAATGGGAAGTAATACTCGACAGAAGTGATATTGCTGCAACCATTTGAGAAGACATATTTGTCTAAAAGGATCTCACATCTGTATCACACCATGGACAAAGAGAAATTGAGAGAGAGAGAAGCGAGTGTTCAGGCTCCATCTTGGCTCCCTCACTGCTGTGCACACACAAGTGCCAGTCTGCTCACTATATGTGTGTGTATAAATTACTTTATCTTCTTAAACTTTATGGTAACTTCAAAGTTCAATTAACAAGCTAAAATGAAAATAATAAAATATTGCATTTATGTCCGCAGTACGTACTAGACTTCTGTTTTGTGCGTAATATCCGACGCGTTTGCATGCAAGAAAATTTGAAGAATTCTTACATACACACAAACATACATTCACACATTACACACTCACAACCTTAAAATTGCACGCTGAAGAGCAACACAAATAGAATAACCTATTCTTAAAAGTATTACTACATCTCCCATCATTATTTATCACAATTGGTCTCATTAGGAAATGTAGATAATAAAGAATACTTTACAGGAGCGTCTCTCAGCGATCAATGTACAAAGATTCCTGTCGTACGAAATGATTACTTCTCTTCTTATTGACGGTCCACAGCCACAAAAGAGAAATGAAGACAGGCTACATATCAAGCCACGAGACGCGCCGCAATAATTCTGACGGCAGCTGCACCGGCTACTGGTGTGACCGATTTGGTCCGTCTGATTCAGAAACTCAACTCCAAAAACATTCTTTCTTCGAGAACTGGTGCAAGCACGATCATAAGAGTCGAACACATAGAAGGAACTAGGATTATTTCAAAGGAAATCTAAGCCCAATGGAAGCTTTGGAAGGCTATCTAAAGGGTCAAATGTCTACAGCACAGATCTCAAATCAGAGTCCTATCGCAGGCAACTATCAATACTTTCACATTATCATATTGATTAAATAAAACTGGGGGTTTATATGGCAAGGGAAATGGCTAAAGGTAACCAACAGTCAGGGTATCTTAAAGGTCATGCATTATCACACGCAATGATTAGAATCCTTCATGAGGACAGGAGGAGACTTAGCAATACACCATCGTCAGGACCTAACAAATTGTATGTCATGGTAACTGGTTGGGAGATCATACAGGCGTCTTGAAAAATTCACATCTAGGAAGATTATCAGATTATCCAGATGTCCAGCCTCCATATGGATTGAAGTTGTACTTAGAGATGACCAAGGTTTCCCACGAAGTTGGCAGATCACACGGACCTACAGGTTGCGCTCCGTATAAGAACGAGCAGTTCAAAAAGGTAAGCTGGCCACGAACATGTTCTCGATGAGTGGGGGAGCAGGCACTAGGTCCTCCAGCTTGAGGTAGAAGATGCGCTGAAGTCCCTGCACACTCAACGACCTCAGCTCTGGAAGCTTTCCAAGCAATCGTGAGAAGTAATGTGTTTTTCTTTGGGCCTCGGCATTGTATGTTACGTGATCCCGCAGTGAGCCAATTATTTTCATCTGTAGCTGCTCCACTTTGTGTGGCTCCTTCAAGCCATGGCGCTCTGCAAAGCACAAGATGACAAAGCTCATATCCCAGGGTACACCCCACTATAAAACAGGTGAACTACTGTGTAAGATTTGAGGTTTTCACAGCGGTGATTATGAAGATTTCTGTCTTCTGGGTTGTTGCGCTGTGTAGTCTGGTCGCTGTTTCATCGCTCTGATGACGGAGGCAGTATGACCTCTGAAACGTTGGTTAACATCGACCAGACTACACAGCGCAACAACCCAGAAGACAGAAATCTTCAAATGAACTACTGATACTGTTCACATTCATTATCTAAAAACACGTACAGATTGTCGTTGACACTCTGTCGGATATTAGACGTGTGGCTCGTTACTGTTCTATAATAAATGCAAGATAGGAACTATATTTTATTTTTCTGGTTATTTACCAATTTCATGTTCTCACAATATTCACATTTAAACTGGAATTAATGGTACCACATTGTTTTACACAGCAGCGACATAGGACTCTCACGTAAAATCACCACTTCGATTGGTAAGTATAATTAAAAACAAAATTTTTGTGAAGAAATTTTAGTAAGACTGTCTAAAAGTTCTGATGTTTATATGAAGGTTATGTCATAAAATAAAAAAATATACTGGTATATTTGCTACAAGAGATAATAAATTAATGTAGTGCACAGAATGAATCAACAGAATCAAAATATACCCTTTTACCTCCGTGAATCCAACCTACAATTGTTAATATCAACTAAATCCCCAATAAACCTACCGGTAACGAGTGTCAGAGCACAGAGGCATGCAAATGCGGAGATGTCAATGTCCATGGCATGTAGAGAATGACAAAAATCGAGAATGGCGTGCAACCAGTCGCCGAAACTCCGCTGGCATTGCTGCTTGTCCAACACTACTCCATTGCAGAATGTGAGTTTAGTATCGTCTGGCCTTGTCCTACACAGCAAAAACAATCACATTATATGAGAAGGAAATTAAAGGTAACAGATGAAAGGCAATGAAGGCATATTATATCTGAAGCACCAAAACTACACATTTATTAGAATAATGTAGACTAATCCTCTCTACTTACATAGGACATAACTGACCGTGACAAATTTTTATAATCGTTCATTTATATTTTCTTATACTTCTGGTTCCACAAATCAGAACACAGACTTTTGTACTGTCATATGATCAGGCTTTCTGTCAGTTATTTTTCTCTGAAAATAGATTGATAATCGTTCTTAAATGTTGACATGAGTTTCGAGGTTTAGATGGGCCTCAATATTCACTTATTGCACATGAAAAAGTATTATTTCAGAGATAATAAAGAGTACAGATACAACACTCTGAAACATTATTTATTCTTTCTCCATAAAACTCATTATATCAAAATATATCTAAAATAAAGTTCTATACAAGTTTTGTATAATGTGTTTGACAAACTGATAAAGTAGACTTTAGCTTCATGTATGGATTACATGAGATTGATGACATTTTTCCAACCTCCCATCTCATCCCAAGTACCAAAGTTTATCAACATCTGTTCAGTACGTTTAGAAATGAAACATGCAGACACACATAACCTCATTTTTAAAAATGCAGTCTGTGCAAAGTACACAAAACAGACATGGGAAGTAAAGTACTTCATTTAAGGAAACAAAAACCTATTCATTTAACACATCTAATTTCAATTCTATATTGATTTGTTCTTTAGCAAAACTAGACTCTGCGGATGTGAAGTAAAAATTTTTTTTTTACCTAACCTAACATACTAACGCACCAAACGCCTGTTAATAGCTTGGCGGCCTAACAGAAATCCCTGGAGACGGCAAATAGGAATTACCACAGCTTGTAGGGTGGGTAATTTTGATTTTAATTCAATTTAATTTTACGAAATGCCTTCTCAAAAGCCTCTCATTTACTTGTTACTTACATCTACAATATATCAAAACAGCAGTAAACATTTATTATATTTAAATACTGCATTTTAATTGTCATTGTTCAGCTCTTATATTATGGAGTGGACTTTACCTGTGCGCAAGGCGCAAGACGAAGAGCTCAAGAGAAGCGGATTGGAAGAGTAACTCCTGGTCGTCTCTGTTGAGCTCTACGAAACCTGGAATCTTATCGGCGAATGTGCGAATCACGTCCACAGATGTTGTGAGCAGGCTGTAGAACTGCTGAATCTTTTCTGCTTCACTCATCGGAGGTTCATTTGGCGTGGGTTCACGATACTGAGGAACAGAAATAAAATGTTCCGATTACAAATTCCAGGGTATTGGGTAAATGATAATTTTATCAACTATCTTTCTTCCACATATTCAGTTTTTTAAACATCAATTTGTTTATGTTCTTTTAAAGCAAGTTTAAAAATATAAACTAATGCAAACCTGAAGAACTTGTAGTGCTTGAAAATGCAACCTGGTCTTTTACATGGCGGAAATTTTCACAGATTAGTCACCAGATATTGAATGATGGAACATAAACAGAGGAAGCTTAAGCAGTGATGGTAGTGGCGGCAGTTTTAAATATATACTTTCTGACAATCTGTTGAATAGTGGCTAATACAGAGCAGAATAACACGTTTTCTTAACAGCAACACGATTAGTTTTATGAGAGAAAGGTCTCACCTGTGAGTAGTCAAGGTTCGCGAGATCAGGAGTTGTGTCCACGTGGGCCCGCACCAGAGCTGTGATCAGAGAGACAGGAGGGCTAGGGGGAGATTCTTGAGGCGACTTGGGTTTTGAGGGGAGCCTGCCCCTGCGGCCCTTCAGCGAGTCAGTGCGCACTACTTCCTTGACCATGCCCACAGCGAGGCACTTCTGGAAGCGGCAGAACTGACAGCGGTTACGGCGTCTCTTGTCCACCGGGCACGCTTTGTCGGCAAGACACACGTACTTGGACCCTTTCTGAACAGTCCTCTTGAAGAAACCCTTGCAGCCCTCGCAAGTCCGCACTCCGTAGTGTTGGCAGGCTGCGGTGTCTCCACACACAGCACACAGCTGCGATGGCGACTGGGGAGCGGGCCCACCGCTCGTTCGGGGCACTGCGCCCCCTGTGCTGGGAGCTGTGGATGCTGCTGGTGTGGGAGGAGGGACTGTGACTGCTGGGGACACCACGTCGCTCAGTCCACCACAGCCCGGGGAAGAGGATGCTGATGACGAAGCTGATGGCGCAGGACCTCCCGAGGGTATCGGCCCCAGCCGAAGCTTCGGAGATTCGCTGCTACTGCAGTGAAAAAAAGGAAGTTTTTTGGTTCTTCTGATGGAATATATGACTTTTAGGTTTCAAGCAGTCACACTAATACATGCTATTTTCGACTTTATCCCACGTCTAAATATTATAAAATTACAACGATCGGGAAGCTGGATTCTACTTCCATTATCTGATAAAAAGGAGTCCTCTGGTTGAGGTAGTCTCAAACCTGGACTAAAATGAACAAATTAACACAATGTAACGTACCATTGTCAGAAACATTTAAACAGTCACAGTGAAGTTTGGAGATTTGTGCGTTAAAATTTATAATAATCTAATTTTAATTCTTGATCATTACCCTACTTTAAAATAATCCAACTTTTCCACATTTGGAAGTACTTTCCGTGTTCGCTAGCTTTATATTGTGATCTTGTCCTTCATTCTGGTGATGAGACATAAACACATTACTCAATTTAGACGTGGTTGATCGCCCAAGAAGATCTTGGTGCCTTTATTTTAGTGAAATCTTAAAATCCTACATTACGCATACGTAGTTATACTGTATTTATTTCTGGTTCAACATTCAAACTAGGGCTCCACAGAACTTCTATGCTCCTACGAAAGGCCTCCTTACGTCTTCGACCAATAAATCTATAACATCAGCTAAGACCAGTAAAGTTGATTTGTTCCATTCAATTGCACTGTCTAATGCTTTTATTGGGCTTTCATAACAGAAATTTTAACATCACACCTTAGCAAGTTATATTAAAATTACGTTTATGAACGCGCCTCACCTAGTAGATTCGGAGCGTTGCAGTGGTAAGGAAGCCCGCCGCTGTCGCGGGCTCAGGGTTGTAGTTACGTGCAGTTCCGACGTACTTGGAAAGTGGGGCAGCGAGTATGTGTCTTGAGGCAGCGGTGTGGGCTCGAAACCAGGACTCTGCTGCGGGAAGTAGGGCGAATAAGGCGCTGGTTGTGGGGCAGACGGCTGAAAGTCATAAGGGGATGGCGCTGGTGTAGGGACCACAGCTGGGTGGTGGTGATGGTGATTATGGTTGTACGGAGTGGGGACGTTGTAGCACTCCTCGTCCATCTTGTAACCTTGTTGCTGGGACGTACTGGCGAGTTCTGTTGGTCGGGTATAGCGGGGAGAATACGTTTCCTGGAAGCTGGGAAGGGGGGCTGCAGGTCCTACGGGGCTCAAGGGGCCCGCACTTCCTCCGGGAGACTCGTGGTGGGGAGGCGGTGGTTCCTGATGGAATATCACGTCCGGAAATGGGTCGAGCTCCTCCGAGAGGGCTCCTGTGTCTTCAGAATATGGCGCGGACAGCAGGTCGGCGAAGCTGCTTGGTCCGAATGGGGACTGTAACAACAACAAAATAATTCTTCTAGAGTCCTTGCCACAACACTGGACTTCATCAACAGCAGTCGTAATTTAACTCACATCACAGCACATTTATAGACTCTATTTCTAATGTTACCTTCCCATATGTGCCTTGAGCTTCAAAGATGCACCTTTTCGTGAAGTATCAATGTAAATTTCGAATGTTTTAAAAATAGAGCCATGATCCTCAACAAAGCTCTCGTGGAATTTCATAAAGTAACACAAAATATGTATTCCTTTCCAAACAAAATATCTAGTCCGAAGGATCGTCAACATAAAAGACAACTAAATTTTATCTTTAGCCAGCTTAATACAATTCACACATTCCTAAACACACTTCCATAACTACTTTTAATATCTTCCAATCATCTGCTTGATCTTTAAAACATCTTCGTTCCACAACATTTTCCCACTACAATTTTATCTAATTTCCATTAGAGTTCCAATCCTCAATCCACATGACACGATTGACAAATGAATCGTGATGCGATAAGACGGAGCTGAAATGGGAACTGAACTCACTTGGCTACACTTCGAGACCAGCCAAGTGCAGGGCCAGAGATGAAGCCGTCTCTGAAGAACCCGAATTAGGTCTGTGGGTACGATAGTGGTCAGGGCTATCGCATGCATCGTGGGGCGCTGACAGACGAGTGTGGAGCAATGACGAAATAATGATTAGCAGGGGGGAAGACGAAGAGCTTGGAGAAAACCTGCTCAAGAACCACTTCGTCCACCACGAATCTTGCTGAGTCACCCGAGATTGAACCCGGTTATCTGAGTCCAGCCTCTAGTGCCTGAGTTATGGCAGATCTAACTGCAACTATTTGCGCGACATGAAACACAAATGCGTGAAGATTTCTGTTTATGTAACATAAATGCTGTAAATATAAAATTGTCGTCATATTTGAGATGAAAAATGTTGCATTCATACCGGTTTCTAGATATCAAAACTGCTAAAACACGAAACTGTACTTCCATCCCTTCCGTCAGTTAACAAGATTTAAAATAAAACACAAGGACTTAATATTTTTTTAATATGCGTTAAGTACTGTCACTGGTAACTGAGAGGCAGAGAAACGACTGTTGCAATACTTTGCCAGCGGCTGTACTTAAGGCATATCCGCTCATAAAAGCACCGTATATAATTAACCTAAAATAGTCAATACGGTGTTTTAAATCCAATACAGGTACGTACTGCCGAAATAAAGTAACACCACAGCATTCTCGGCTGTAGGAATAATATTAAATAAACGCAATTAATACAAACTATTTTGCTGCTAAAAATTTTCATGGCCAGAGAACCAAGTTGTCATAATAGGGTAAAAGTCAGTTGAAATTTAACGGGAACGATATCTTCCATGTCTTAATCCCTCGTTCTGTTCCTTACTTTGCTTTATTCCTCTCACCCTTCTCATTCATAAGTCTCTCAATGCCCTTATGATGGAACTTCTATCCGACTACAAGACGCTACAATCGAGAAGACAGACATTTTTGAACTCGTAGCCGTAGGAACCGCAAATCAAACAACAATTTATTATCTTGTTCATAAGAATCCACCAATGGACTCTCTTGAGGCAGTCTAATCTAATCCACAGCTCTGAACTTAATGCTCAGAATTAAGCTAACATAAGAAATCAAGCGTGTGTATTTTTTGTTACAATGGAAATTTATAGGCTATATACTGTAATTAAGTGTCAATAATTCGATGCTTGGAGTTTCTTTGCTATTTAATAATCCTTAATTAACCTCACAGTCATGGAGTGTGTGACAAAAGAGTGTGGAATGTTTGTGATAAACCAATCGAAAGGACGAATGAGAAAGTAGTCGTAGCATATTTTAAATTACTTTCTCAATGTGCACCTTACATGTTCAGTAGAAGCTGCCAATGAACTGTCATGGCCGGATGACGACTGTAAGTGATGGACTGGGAAAATCATAGAAAGAAATGGCCAAGCCCTATGTTAAAGTAATTAATTATTAGAGTATTTGCTTGGTGGTAATGGCAAAGACCATGACAACTTCAGACAGGGTAGTCGGTAATCCAACCCACGCAATGGTAATACGAAAATTATTGCCAGAAACACAATATAAAAGTAATAGCAATCTTGTATGATATGAAGCTTTCACGGCGACTAAGAATAATAAATTCTTCTCGGGATAACAGCGTAGTCAGGTAGTTGAATGGAGAAGACACCAACGTTTCGAGAACCATCCTCGTCCTCGTCCTCAGGGTACTGTCTCGAAACGTTGGTGTTCTCTTCCTTAAGCCACCTTACACCGCTGGTAGCCCAAGAAGAATTTATTATAATAGTGACAACTTTAACTTTTGTTTTACACCAATGTAAAAATCTATGGGAAACAACACAGACTTAGAATGTTTGAGAACAGTATTCTTATTTTTAGTAGAATATATGGACGCAATATAGAGCAATATTATGTAATTCTATCCATCCTGTTATAGGAGTACACAATGAGAGACAGCGAGGCTTGTAGCACGCACAATTAAAATTAGAAATGTATTCAGAATTTTAATGGGAATAACCTAGGGAGAAAGACCTTTAGGAGGATCTAACTGTAGATGAAAGAATTATATTAAAGTGAAATTTAGAGAAATAAGGTACAAAGCGTGTGAACTGAACTTTCTGAATCAGGTTAAAGTCAAGTGATGTGCTCTCATAAGCATGGTAATGAACCTTGTTTCAACAAAAGCACGGAACAACCTTTCAGGCGAATAACTGAGAACCATACACTGCAGACTTGGACATAAAATTTGACTGATGATTTTAACTACAGGTACTAATTAGTGAAAAGTATGAAAGCTGTTTTCTAATCACATACACGTAATAAAGTACATTAAACAACATCGTTTACCTCTCAAAACACACATTCGTTTTCTGGCTACACCTAAAATCCACTTCAACTCTTTATTAAGAAACCCGTTATTTGTCGGTGATAAAATTGCATAAACGTACAATTAATTAACCACAAACTTCATGGGTAGTTATTAGGCTGTTTCCCTGAAGTGGCAAAGTGTCACTGGCATCAAACCAAAACATGTTTCGCAACGGAAGTCTCTTTATGGGTCACCATGTTTGCTTCATACGTAAATGAAAGCTGAACCTTCTTAGCGTTCATTTGACTATAAAGTTATGGATTATCAGTTTCAAAGTGCGACATTCAACGTATTGTGCGTAGCAAGAAACCATGATTATGTTCTCCTGTATTCAGGAGATTATCAGATCGAATTCCGACACGGTTCCCAGTAGGTATTTCAACAAGAAACTGTAGGCATACAGGGTGGCACAGAAATAAATATACATCTTCAAACAACCATTTTAGGATGTTTCAGTGTTACTAAGTTACCTTCCTTTAGTTCAAGATAATACTGAACGGCAAAAATTATGCAAATTAAGTTAACAGAATTAGAACGAACATTGCAGCGTAACGACAAATTCCTGTCACATTTCTCCCAAGTTACAAATCATTATCTGTTTTGATAACACAAGAGTCATCTTCGGGTGTGACATATAGGTATTAATATGATTGTACAGCAAAACCTTACTAATTCGGACCCTCTATAATTAAAGCTACCTGTTTATACAAATGTTTTATTAACGAAGAAAGGAAATACTTCTTAAATTTTTGATCTGAATATAAAATTTTTCACAAATTATTAGCTTCCTTTTCGTCATAATTGGGTCACAATACCATATTTCAGGACTGTGAATAAATTTGATTGTTTTTATAAATTATGACTCGAACATGTTAATATAATTAATAGCAGTACATAATTAAGACTTTTCACTAATTCAGATTAGCCCTCTCTCAATTAGTCCGAATTAGAGGGGTTTTATTATAAACCTATATAAGAAACATACAGTTAAATTTGTTCGTTTGCTGAAAACTATAAGGAGAAGAATTTTCAAATCTGATTAACAAAATTCGGAACTTTCAACTTATTAAACCGTTATTATGAATTCTGCCATCATACGTTCCTTTTGCAGGAATGGCATAGAATTACTTCCTCACTAACAAAGGGACACGTTTGTCAGGTAATGTTAATGTTACCGGAAACTGAAGAAACATTTAGAATACAACACTGTATAATAATATCAAACATATTGTAAGTGCTCAGAACAATTAATACGTGTGGCAAGTTGAATGAATTTAAAGCCATATGATCAGGTAAATATTAACTATACGTCTCATGTCTCGAAGATCCGTCCTTCGAAGCTAGACGGCAGTTACTGTCAATTCTTCCGTCTCGCCCTGTGTCTGGAGAAAAGGACTTTTGCGTCAAACTGGATTGTGACACTTTCCTTCCCAGTGCTTACAAGAAAAGAAATAACAATTTATCATCATTTTACATACCGTCAACTTCACTAGCCTTGCATCAAAATACCCCGACGATAACGCACAATAAAAACTAATAACATTTACTATATCACCATCCATGCTTGCCATTAGCCATGCAGAAAAATAAAGCGCTTTACCAATGCAAACTCGTAGGCCTGTTGATTTCATCAGATCTCACTACCTTTGGCCTTCTCGTTGTGATTTCAAGCCGAAGACAAAATTTGGATACAAGAGAAATCTGACCTATCAAATACTAACACGGACAGAATTATTCCACCAACAGTGCGTTAATATGAGATTTGAGGTTATCACGGTGGTGAATATATCATTGTCTTCTGGGATGAGACGATGTGTGGACTTGTAGTTAGATATCAATATTTTGGAGGAATATTCCTGAAGATGGAATCAGTATATTCCTCCGAAATTTCGGTACCTATCTTCAACTGTAGGCGGCATTACAACCCAAAAGACCAACTTCGATAACGTGTAGTATGTGACAACATATTAATCATTGTAAATACTTTCTATGTTAATAATACCCCAACACTGTGTTTTATATTATAATTTCAATATAATAATTTGAACTAAGCCACTATTAATAATTTCTATGCTAGTATCCGGTC